AGGACACCCGATGATGATCAATCATAGAAACTTTGGTGCCTCTGTGAGTTTCTGTGTAGGAGATATAGCAGTTTATTTTTTTACGGCGAGTAGGTGAACTTTGACCCCTGCTAACCCCCCCAGCATACTCAAAAACTCACCGTTTTGATAACTTTAGATGGGACATGCCTTATGAACAGACTGACCGAGTTTGAAACCGATCAATTGAAATCCCTAGGAGGAGTTCGATCAAATACGGAGGCTGTAAACGGCAAAAATGGCCTCAAAATTGGACCTTCAATCCAAAATGGCTGACTTCCTGTGATACTTGCACTATGACATTAATTGTAAATTTTGAGCGTCCTGGGGAGCTCTACAAGTGTACCAAATTTCATGTCTCTAGGATAAAGTAAGTGAATAGCAAAGGGTCCTTTGAAAATTTCTAGGTGGCGCTATTGAGCCATTTCTTGTGGAATTTTGCGACGACTTTAAAATACGTAAATTTGAAACAGGCTTAAGGCCTCCGCCAAGTTTGGTGAGTTTTTGAATATGATAAAGCCCCCAAAAAGCCAATTCATTTGGAGGGAGAATCGTAATAATAAGAAACAGTACAGAAACAATAGGCCTTCGCAGCGCTTAGCTGCTCGGGCCTAATAATAATAATAAGAAACAGTACAGAAACAATAGGCCTTCGCAGCGCTTAGCTGCTCGGGCCTAATAATAATAAACAGTAGGAAAACAATAGGCCTTCGCAGCGCTTAGCTGCTCGGGCCTAATAAGAAACAGTACAGAAACAATAGGCCTTTGCAGCGCTTAGCTGCTCGGGCCTAATAATAATAAACAGTACAGAAACAATAGGCCTTCGCAGCGCTTAGCTGCTCGGGCCTAATTAAAGCTGCAAGCAGCCTCGAGCGGCCCTCGCAGCCAAGCGCCGCTCCGGCCTATTGCCACCGCAGGGTACTAGCAACCGCCGCCTGACGCCAGCCACCACAGATGCTCTCACGCGGTTTTCAGCACCTCCGCCCGCACCGCGGAAACTGTTGCTCCGTTTCCATCAACGCTCCCCACGTTCTAACACAGAAGTCGTTGCGCGGTTTCCGCGCCCGTCCACCAGGCGGTACGCATCGATGCGTTCGGCGGCACTTCCTGACGACGCACAAAAAATGTGGTGCAGATTCGTTGTATAGCGAGGAGATATAGCTGGCGTATTAATGTAGTTGGCGCAGTGGAGTCAAAATACATTTCAATGTTGTTGGGGTGTTTAGAGGTCAACAAAGGTCATACATATTCAATTTGGCGCCAGTCGGATGATCAACGTATCATTTAGAGCCGATCATATGCACGTGGCGAAGAACTGCAGTTCGCCATTTCTACACCCCAATGCGGTTTGGTCAGCTGCCAGCATTCACAGAGTTCATCATGTTATCGTTTTTAGTAAGTATTCACATGATGAAACCCATATATATGATAGAATAACAGTAAAACTCACAGGAGAAAAAACTGGTGATTGCCTTTGAAAAGTGGGCGGGGCTAGGGTGATTTCATCAAGTGACCATGGAAATGTGTTCAGGACTGTTCTATAGAGAAAACACAGGAAGTGTGATGCAGCTGTGATCTTGCATTTGGAAGTTTTTTTAATGTTTATGTTCATGGCAAATAGTGAAAGTTTTACACTAAGCCACACCCACATGCTTTGATGTTAACTGCAACTGAGATCTAAATGCAGTGCAACTTTAACATTTTCCTAAAATGAGTCAGGAAAATGGTAAAGGTTAAGATGTATCAGTTTAATAAACCCTTCTGGTCAGTAATAACAAAGGGCAATGCACATTCAGAGAGCACAGTTAACTTTCAGTACATTAGAACAAAAGCACAGGTTTAATCCCTCTCAATAATTAGGTATTAATCACAGCAAGTGGTCCAAGTAAATATTACAACCCCAATGGATCAGTCTTAAGAACTCAGAACGTTGTAAGATTGTCGCTCCCAACAATCGTAACCGATCATCCTGTAGTGTGTGGTGTGTTACGACTGATCGAGTCCAGTCGGTGGAACGTCGGACCGCTTTCATCTAAAATCGGGGAATTGAATGTTTAATCATCTTTGCTCATTCATCGCAATCTCTGTGGTGTTCCTCCGACTTTTTTTTATCTTTTAATGAAAGATAATTATAAAATTATTGCACAGAGTACATCTGGTTGAAAAGCGCATTCCAATCTTTGGTTGAAATGGCGCATTTGATTTTTATTCTGCAGTCATAATACAATTTTAAACAATATAATAAGTTTCAATTAAAGGATCTGGAATAGGCTACGTTAAGCTTTCGCGGTCAGTTGGGGGGAAAAGGATAACTCCATTTGATTTTCTAAAAATGAATATGCAGGAAATGCTTTCTACTACCTTAAACTGCTCTGATGTTTCAGTCATTCTGTTTTAAATGCATAGATTCTACAACAACATAAACACAGCAAAAAATTATAAAATTGTACGTAAACGATTAATTAAATGACAAAAACCGAAAACATTAAAAACAGTATTTTTTATGAAAAAAAAACTCACCTCCATGTTGCGATTCAACTAATATAATCCTTGCTCACAATATCTCCAGATCTTAATCCAAAGCTTTGATTTTTGGTTACATCTTTTTTGGGTTAAAATAAGTCCGCAAACTAAAGTTACCACTTCAACGTCGTTGTCCATGTTTGTTTGTTTACTCCAAATTCAGCTGTGGTAGCGCAGAATTTTAATTTGAAGGTATTTCGTAGCTGGTATTAGAATGTGTTCGAGTGAAACCTCACACTCTACGATCGAACCCGTTACACCTACGATTTTAAATAGGCTAGTGTGTGTTCTGTCACGTTTTAAGAATCGGCCCACTTTTCTAAAATTGTGTAGTGTGAACTTGGCTTCACTCACCCCATCTCCAGTTACCACTTTTTAGACGAACAGCAATAAAACTCCTCTCCAACAGTCCGTTTCGGCTCACGAACGTGCTGGGTCTGCAGCTCCAAAAACGTTAGCGTGCTCCGGTTTTGTGGCTCCATAAACCATGCAAAATGTTCATGAAAACTTAGCTGCTCCAACAGTTTAGCAAAAAATGTACAGTCCACAGCGTAATGCGCCGAACCTCGGTCTCCGGCCGACTGCCATACGTACAGTGCAGTTCTTCACAACCAATCAAATTGCTTAAATTTGTTTTTGCCCTTGACTGACCAGTAAGGCACAGACGAGGGAATTGATGCATTTACTTGCTGTAGTAAATAACAGTTATTAACAAAACGCTACATTTACTCCGTGTTTAAGCCAACACAAATTATCTGGGGGCTTTCATATAACATTTCAGGTTATATTTAACCGCTATCCTTTTGAAAATGTCACGGCAGATGCTCTCGTAAAGTTTTCACCCCCTGTCGATCTGTTTTTGTCATTGGTGGATTAACACTTACCCCTACTGGCGAAATACTGATATTGTTCTTCATCCTGTTTTATCCGCTGTTTCGTTGGTGGAGCTATACTGATCCCAAGTGGCGAATTACTGAAATGGTTTATGAACAGTTCTATAGAATTACGTTTTCTTTTATTTCTAGGCAAAATTATGAATGTTTGTAACTCTAACCCACAAAAAAAAAAAAAAAAAAAAGAAAAACTTATAATTATGTATATTTAAATAATTATATGTTAAACGGCATAACAACCTATATTTAATGGCTTCTGTTTTTCCATGGGGCGCTAGACAGAAATTAGGCCACGCCGTTCAAATTTGTGATGGATTTCTGTTGGCGATTGGATGAGGATCCATCCTTGTGAGTTTGGAGCAGCTGTGCCCGAAAATGTGGAATTGAGAGCCAAACGTATGGCGTGGCCTTACAGGTCACTTTTCCATTACTGGCGAAATACTAGTATAGTTATTCATCATATGCTTAAGCAGCCACACGCCATTGCAGAAGCTTTCATGCCGTTTCTGCACCTATCCACCAGGCGATATGCTTCGATGCGTTTTGCAGTGCTTCCCCACAATATATCAAAATTTTATGCAGATCTGCTGATGTATCCAGGAGTGTAGCTCATCGATTAATCTTTGTGGTGCTTTGTATTAAACACATCCAAACCGTCTTAATTTCTTCATAGAGTTTACTTGTACAACAACAAAAAACCAATAACATTAACTTCAACAATAAGTGAATATTTCCATTGTGCTTATTTCACTGAAATACGCTTCTTAACTGTGTGGAACAATTATATTTTTCTCAGTAGCAAGTCCTTTCAATTTCAAAATAAAATAGAATGAAATTTATATTCGAAATAATTCTTTCAGTGTCCTTTATAGAGAAAAAAGAAAGGTAAAGAAGCTTGGTACACAGTAAAAATGCCAGGTGTAGTGTCAAATAAGAGTGTGAGTGTTGTTTTGACACCACACAGCATTAAATGACATTGCCAGAATAAATTCCGTAATATTTGCGTTGTTAATTCAGTGTTAATTGGTTGGTGTTGCTTAAGCCCCGCCTTCGCATAACGGGTGCAGAGCACGTGCTACTTTCTTTCATCGCGCCACCAGTCGTCTCTCAGTATGGCTACATTTCTTACACGAAGGACACAATTCTTTCCTAAGGTGAGTTAAATATTCGTAGTTAAACATTGTTTCGTTGGAAATGTGGTTTTTTAGTTTGAGACTTGAAAGAGTGTATGATATTTAACCCATTTTGAATGGGAAATCCACCAAATTCAGCTCCCTCGTTTTGTCATATCTAGGTGAACGGTAAATTTGAAATCTGTTATATTTGGTAAGGTCTAGTTGTTATTTTAAACCATGGATAAGACTTCTATATCTGTATTATTTGAAATATTGGTGACGTGTGTATCTAAAAAGCTAACTTAGCAAATGGTTTTTGGATGGTATTTTTTCTTCTGTTAGATTGAGCAGGACTTCATCATGCTATTTGGAGAAGACATCTCAGGAAGTTTATTGCAAGATGGCCAATGTTCTACAAACCCAAGATCATTACTGTCAGCAAAGCATCGACAGAGCATTCACCTGGATGACCTTCTGTCTGCTCAGGAGTAATCAAGTGATTATGGTATGTATTAATATATAATATGTTCAACTGTCTTTTCTATATTTACATTCTAATCATGGCTTGTTCAGATTTTATCAGAATGGGATAGCGACTTAGCAGCCATTCTCCTGCTGGTTCATCTCTTGCCTCCAACCGCCAAAGGGAAGAAACATGTCAAAATTAGTGCAACTGAGGCAGCTGATCGTTTTGTGAGGCTCATGAAGGTATGTTTTTGACATGAATTAATGGGCTTCACTTACCGTAAATTGATCTCATTTTTACAAGACTGTAAATGTAAAGTCGTTATTTGGCATTATTTGTATTATAATTTTATAGTTATTTTTTAAAGTTATGGGTGAGATCAGGGTTAATTTTATGACAACATAGAATAGAAAATTGGTTATGGGAAAATAATGGCACAAAGAATTGTATGAGCCCATTAGAACTGCTCTTTTCACTTAAGCTCACAGGAGTTTCCTTGCAAGTCACATCCTCTTTCGTGGCATGCTCACAGCTAAAGGAAGGTGGAAAATGTTGTTAATTTGTTGCTAGTGAGGGACTAACACCATTATTTCTAATGTGATGTCTTTTAATATTAGGTGGGGACAAGCATGGTGACATTCCTTGACAAAGTTGGATCTGCACAGCCCTTCCTCCTCTGCGTTGGAGAGAAGAAGAGCTGTATTCAGAAGTTCTACATCATCCTTGATAAGAAGCCCATTCCTTGTGTGGTACAGAGGGACAAATGGCTGCCTTCGATGAACTTTTTAAGGCGCACTTTGTGTTTGCTGTGTCCTACAATGTAACTCTTCTCAACTTCTACACATTCATCCAAACAACAGTTTATGGGATTGATGCATCAACAACAAAGGAGAGCCCCAGAGTCAATGAAATCAGAGTGACAATTAACAACACTTAAATATGCCAACATGCAACATTTATAAGGTTCAGCACAAGAATTCTTCAACTTTAGTATGAGCTGTGCATTAAAGGTCTGTAATACTTAAATGGGTTTAATAAAATTTGAACTTTCCATTTCTGTGTATTTTTTTAATATTTTTTAGCAGTGAATTTGGTTGATATTCACACTTTGTGGGGTCAATTATTTACCTTTTTAACACGACATAATGTGTTGAGGTTAACACTACACTGGTGTTACTTTTAACATTATATTTTAACCCTAACACTGTTGCAATGTTAATGTGACCCTCAGTATTGTTGAATATTAACAATATCTGGTGTTAATTTAACAAAAAATGGTTGTCAACCTTTTAACATTTTGAAAAGTGTTACTTTAACACCAGCTGACTTGGACACATATAGACACTTTGTTAGTGTTACAATTAACACTGTGGTTGCTAATTCAGTACTGACATTTTACTGTGTAGAAAAAAGAAAAAACGAAAAAACATTCATATAGGGCTCTATATTTATGTCTCTGTAATGCATTCGAAAAACATGGATGAAAGAGATTCAATCTTACTAGTATTATAACCCAGAATGACGATGGCAGAGTAATATCGGCCACAATATTGCAGTAGCAGGTAAACATCATATCTCAGGCATAAAGAAGTCAGGTGATATGCAGAAGGTAGGCATAGAAAATCTGCAGATGTATTTTGTTTTGTTTCATTTATTTCAGGTCAATGTATAAGAAGTGGTGTGTAATATACATTGTAGTACTTTTGGAATATATATAATTGCTGAATTATGAAGAGTCACCTGCAAAAGTGGTAAAATACTTCTTTTTAAAGGTAAGAATTTTTGATTTCCAATCATATATAATTATTGATTAGAAAGTATCAATGTTTCTTTTTTGTCAGTAATTTTAAATTTATATGTTTTATAATTTTGTAAAAATATAACTGTTATAATTATAAGGATAAACGCTTAAATGGGCTTTATCAATAAAATAACTTCTGTCGTCCATCACCACATTTATCCAGTTAAATTTTTGAAGAAGGGTGGGCATTTCTGTTAGTACCGCCCATTTCAGCTTTTTTCTTATATATAGGCTAGTCAGTTGCTTTTCGGACATTTTGTTTTCCTCTACCAGAGATAAAGAAGTAGGTATTTTATGCTATTTGTTGATTGATTTTTAATTGTGTTTTCTCTTTATAAAGTTGTTAACTATATGTTTTGTGCTTTGTAGAACATGGCAGACTCCCACATAAGCTCCCTCAATTGAGCGACCCTGAGCTGAAAGGCCTGCAGAAGGCGGCCCAGCTTGCTTGTGTAAGTATATTAGTTGGTAACTAATTTTAAAAAGTATTTTGTTTGGAAGTTCCTCTCTGAGGTTGTATAGTTTTAAGTAGTTGGAATTATGCTAATTTTTTTTGGATATAAAAGCATAGTTGTGAAGTTTTAGTTTAGAAAATACAGTAACTTTCGGCCAGAGTGGGCACTCGTGAACTACAATGTAAAATGGAGAAAAAAAAGAGGGGGGAGGGGGGCGCCATTATACTACGTTACAGACGGGGATACAGAATGAAGAAAGTACGCAATGTGGCAGGGAGAGCGAGCGTAAGACCAGGAACGAAGCGGTGGGTTCATAAAAGGTATAAATCATGATGGAATCCAGAAAGCTAAGTGCGAGGAGAAACACAACCTAAGTGCGTAGCGGATTTGTGTAGGTAATATAAATGTTGCGTTTTAATTTTCAGGGACGTTTGTTTTCGTTAGCGTTACACGATTTTAACTGTGTATAGCGTGCAATGCTTACAGCGCGTCCGACACTTAATGTAAACCTGACAACATCGGCGTGTTCTGTGCATAGGCTAGTTTTTTAACTTCAGGCGTCACATGCGTTTGATATAACACAGCTTTAAATGTTTTATGTAAGACTGTTTTCATTTGAAGTGAAGTAGTTACATTCTTTGTTGATATTAATTAAAGATACAATTTCAACATTTTGTTTAAGACATTCAAAAGTGCACAATTTCTGCTTTCCTAACATTCATCAATAAAGGGAACATAAATATTGATATCTAATAAATTATTTAAGTTTTGGTACAATTGTTATTAAAAAATGAAGCAAAAGAGAAGACCTATGAATTGATAAGGCAATATTAAAACTCTTACATTGTTGTAGTCATAATAATATTTCTAAATAGTTATATTGTTTTAACTTTCTGTTTTTTATAAATTTATTTAATTAATATTATGTTCAAGATGTTCAAGTTGTATAGTTTGTTTTGATGAAGACTTCTTATTCATAGAATTGTTTGAGTGATTTAAATAGAAAATACTAACATGTTTTAGTTCTCAATTTTTAATTGTGTATTTTAATGTGGGTAGCTGTTCATGTGATATGCATTTATTTTGGTGTTATTCCTGGAATACATATTTTTCACCACATTGTGGTATTCTGGTTTTTGTGTTCTTGTTTAATTTAAATGCATTACAATGGTGCTTCACAGCCAGGGTTCTCAATAATGCGTTACAAAGTAACGCATTACCGACGTGGAACCACATTTTTCAGTAACAAGTAATGTAACGCGTTGGTATTTCAAATCTAATAATCAGATTACAGTTACTTTTCAAAACACTTTGCGTTACTATCTTCTTTTTTTAATAGGTCATGAAAAGATTTTGCTGGGCAATTAATTGTCTAAAAAAATTATTGTGAAACGATAATATTGTTTGAAGACTTTTTACATTGATTTAATGGAAATTACATAATAATACATGCGATTTCCTGTCAAAGATAGATACACTTTACTTTCAAAAGACATACTGGGACTGATACACAATAATAAAACAACCATAACCAAATATAAATAGATTCTCAGTCTCCATTAACAATAAATGTATTTGAAAAAAACTATACAACATGAAGCCAAAGTGGAAATAAACACTGCATTCAACCAAAAGAGTGCAGATTATGAGGTCTGTATTTTATTGCTCTTCAGTAATAATTAGATTTAAATAGAGAAGAATCCGACTGCCTGATGCAATAGTTCAAACTACAGGATTTTTTAACCTCAACGACAATCTTAGAACATTATTCGTTATGAGATTTTCACTTGTGTTGTGTATTATGGTAGATCCTTGTTCCTGCTTTGATGTAAATCAGTGATTTATCCAGACTTGGAGATTAACACATTCTGTTTAATATGACTGGTAGCCAATCTTAAAGTGCGGATTCTCCTCCTGTTTTCTGAGAGGAAACACGAAGGGAATCCTGAACAGTTTACACGGTGCAACCCGAAGTCCAGCAGACATCGGATGATATGTGGAAACATGAATGTTTCTTCAACATTTCGTGCAAAGAAAATATAAATAACTAGGGGAGGAGTTGGAGCGAAATGTCTACCAGAAAACCCGGTAACTTTTCAGCTGTTCTTTGTTAACATGACATAAATAGGTTCTAATAATTTTCATTCAGTCAGACTGACACTAGCCAAATGCATTGCAGGTAGATTGTAGTAAGGAATTGATTAATGCCTGGTTTCAAAGTTAGTGAACTGGACTTATCATTTTGTGTCCATTGTTGGACACAACACGGTTTCAATCAAACCGTTATAGTGAGGATTTCTGTCGGCTAATGTGTCTCTCAGGTTTTGATAAAGGGCCGACAATAGGCGACATAAGATCGTGCAGCACGCGCTGGGCATTACACTAAGAAATAAGGAAGGGAGGGTCAGTGGAGAGCACCGGAGATTAGCCTTTTTTCATTCTGTGTCATCAACAGTAAGAGAAAAAGACAGGAAGAAACGATATAGCCAATAATTGAAATAAGGTTGATAATTTTAATGTATTGTGGGATTAATAGATTTATCGTTTATCGTGACAGGTCAATTATTTAATTGTTTTCCCTCTACGTCCCTTGTTGTGTGACCGACAATATAATGTGACAATATCAGCGACAGTCAGTTTTCACATATTTGATATGTTACTATCTTCTTAAAGGATTTAATTTTTTTCTTTCTCAAGTTTTAAGTTATCTTGAGATGTTTTGTTTATTTTAAACTTTTGTTCACAAACTAAGCATGTGTAGCATTAACCATTTACAGTGATTGAATAGTTTTTATATTAGATTTTTAATAGCTTTTATTATTTATTGTGCTGTTGAGTTAAGTATTAGTTTTCATTTTAAAATATTTTTAATAGTTCATCTTTTTTTTTCTTACAGTACCATTGCAGAGATACATCTGTATCTCGGGAAGCCCTGGAACGGAGTGTCCATGAGGCCTTCCAGGGATGTCTGGAGGCCATTGAAAAACGTGGGAGGCAGCTGAGGGCAGCTGAACAAAAATTGAAATACCTACAAAAGCAATTGGAGGAGGAAAAAACAGAGGTTATCAATCTAAAAAAAAAAGAAAAGCTTTACCAAGACCAACTGGCTGCTGCTCAGCAGAAAATAGAGGACTTGGAAGACTGTGCTGTGTTTTATAGTGATGGTAGGCATATTTATAGTACATCATGTTCATTTTAGCTTTTATTTCTCTTTTATATTGTAATCTTAATTAACATATGATACAATGGTATTTCATGAGGTGTTTGTAGTGTATACAGAAAGTATTTTTTTGTTGTTGGATTCTTTATTATTTTAGTTCATCTTACAAATACATTGTTAATAAAAGATCAACTTTTGATTAAAAAAAATTATATTTGAAACTAAAATTGAGCTTCACAATATAAGGACATTCATTCACTAATTTAGATTTTAAGTAACGATTTTATTAATTTTACCCCCTTTCTAATCAGCATGTACTAGGTATCCCTTCATATTTGTTTCAAGCAGAGTTTGTTTATATTTGTTTCTGTGAAGCTGCTTATTTCAGCATTATAGTCTTCTCTATTTTCTACCACAATTTGAGAGACAATATTTTCAATTTCAAAGCAGGATTAGATTTCTGTTTTTTTTTTAAATGTTTAATGTTTGTTTTGAATTGTAAAAATATGTAGAATTTCTATATGTGTTTTGATGTTGTTTTTT